TCTAGGGCTTGGAGACGGGGATGAGCACCACGCCCTAGAGTCGGACACGACTGGACTCAATGTCAAGGGGGGAACCTTTACCTTTACCTTGTGTGATTTAACCTGTTTGGCACCATAGGAGCTGCACAGCACCTTCCCCCACCCCCACCCTGGCCGTCTGGCCCACTCACCTTGCATTGCGGGCTGCCAGGGTCCTCCTTCTCCCACGGTGTTCTGGTTTGGGCAGGAGCCCCTCTCCTTCGGTGGCCGGCCACTCCCGTGAGGCAGCAGAATGGGGATTCTTTTCCCCCTGCCGCCGAGGACTGGTCATCTGTCAGAGGAGGTGAAGAAGAGTCGCCTGTGCTCCTGCCCCGGATGGGAGTGCCGACAGAGGAGGAGGACCCTGGTGGCATGTGATAGATGGGGAGTGGGGTGACGATCCATGCGGCAGCTGGGGTGCCGCACAGGTTCATTCGTATGAAGCCCACGAATTATGTTGTGCCAATCTCCATTGGATATAAAAAGCAAGCACTGCAAATATTTGTGAAACACTCAGCTTGGTTTTGGAAGCTCGGTGTAGAAAATATCTCTGAATTTTGCTGAGGATCCCCTTTTGCTCTCTGCTATCCGAGCTGGTGCTCTGGTGATGTGCGCAGACTAATGAAACCGTGAGTTATGTCCTTCTCTGATCTGGGGAAATTTCCCTTTGCCAGTTCTAAGTGCAAAGAGGAAAAAGAAATCTTAGGTCTGTGACAGCTCCGGAGGGAAGGTTTGTGTTTCTTGAAGAGATCCAGAATTCTTTTCCAGCGCCTGGCAGAGTGGCTTAACAGTTGGTTGCTGTGACGTTGTGGCGAGACAGTCGTGTACGATTACAGATTCCACAACTGTTTTGCATGACACAGCAAGGAGCTCGAGCGTCTGTCGTTCATGTTCGGATGGATTCCTTATCGAATCGAATGCTTTGTGTTAGTCTTGCAATCCTTTCCAGATCCTTCTAGGTTTGGAACACTCAGAAGTGGGTTTGCAGTTCTTTCCTTTTGGGGTGCTCCCGGGTGCTGCAGCTGGCCCAAGGCCACACAGGCTGGCTGTGCTCCCAAGAGGCACAGAGGAGGAATCGAACTCCCAACGTCTGGCTCGGCAGTCAGATAACTAACTCGGCTACGTAAAGCGTAGGGAGAGTGTGTCTTCGGCTGGCTACTGACCGTCCACAAGATTCTTTGCAGAATGCAACTCAGGTCCTGCTACTCCTCTTGTATCTCTCCTCTTTCTTAATAGCCCACCCACCCATCTACTCCTTCCTGGACTGCAAAGTATCCTGCCGAAAAGCGTGTTCACTTGCTTTTCTTTTTCCTTCTGCAGGCAGTTGGCCCAAAGCCTTGGGCAGGCCGGCGAAATTGAGCCGGAGACAGAAGGCATCCTGATGGAATATGGGGTGGATTTCTCCGACTTCTCCCCGGAGGTCCTGCGGTGTCTCCCCCAGAGCCTCCCCTGGACTATCCCCCCAGAAGAAATGGCCAAGAGAAGAGATTTAAGGTAAGTCCCCACCTTTCTCCTGCTGGTCTCCAGCTCCCTGTCTAGAGTTCGTATCTTGGGATGGTGTTCAAATGGCCTGGATTTCTTTAAGCAGGCCCATTTGTCTGCAACGCTGGCCTGCAGGAAAACTTTCTTTTCCTTTTTGAAGAGTTTGTCCTCCAAGCCTTGTGAGGCCAGAATCCGTATTTGAGTCGGTGACCTCAAGCTTGGGCACGTCACTGGCTTTATGGTTTTTTGTTTTTTCGCCCATGTAATATGAAATATTACAGTTTTTTGGAATCGCGGGATGCGAAGGGGTTCAGACCGTACCTTTTTTTTAATGGCTTTCACTGTGACTGCGACGTTAGGAGGCTTCTCGGTGGCGTGTATCCCCTTTCATTCAGCACATTTAAGAATAAAGCTGTCAGCTTTTTAGAACACATTTTATGGCACATGTCTATCCTCATGTTTATGGAAAGAAAGAAATATGGCTAGGATTATTTGAAGTTTTGGAAGCCTGCAGATCTGCTTTTGGGCTTTGGTGGCTCATATGCTTTTTTTGTACTGAACGCTGACGGCAGGCTATGGCTTCTCTCCCTCAGTTAAACCTCTGAGGGACTGTCCTAATAAAGTGTGAAAGGAACAGATCAAAAGTTGTACCTGAATCCCACAAATATGGGCCGTGCTTATTGGCCAGTCTCTGTTTTGAGCTCATCACAGCTTCAGCCAGCTCAGTCTCCTCTTTTGTGGTGCGTTTTGCCCAAAAACACTTAAGGGGGAGTCAAGGATTCCTCTTCTTACCCCCAGGCGTCAAGAGAGAAGGAAAAGTTTGTGCTCTTTCTTTTTCCGTGAAACCACAATCCCTCCACAATGAGAGCAGATTAGTTTTGGACATCGATGGCATCCTTCAGTCTCGAAAGACTATGGTATCGTGCTCTGTATCGAGGACTTAGAACAGCGTCTAGTGTGGCTGAGAAGGCCAATTTGAGAGTGACAATCCCTTCCACACTGAAGACAAATACAATCTGTCCCCCATGCAGCTCCCTGATTTTGCTGCTTTAGTAACTGCCTCTTTGCCTCGGCCTGCTGGACGAGGGTCTCTTCAAATTGGGAGAGGCCATGATACACCGCCTGCCTCCAGGCTGAATGCTCAGATGTCAAGATTTCCCATCTGTTTTGGACAACAACTCCCAGAATCCCCCCAAACAGCATGGCCACTATTCCGGATGGGGGGATTCTGGGAGTTGCTGGGGGGGGGCGGGAACAAAACAAAAACTGCCTTGAAGGAAAGAAGCCTCTTTCACTGGCCTTGCGAGGAAAGAGCTCAGTCTTGTTTGAATGAAGGTTTAGAGAAGGGACTTTCTCTAACCTGCAACACATATTCGATAGAAGTGGCTGGGAATCTTTGTTGCCCATGATCCAGGGGCACCTGTCCTGGGAAGCTGGCTTGCAGGGAGACCATGTCTTCAGCCAAGCTGGGCAGCAGGCAGACTCACCAGGTGGGCGATGCAGGCAGAGTGGTGGCCATGTGCTCCTGTCTGACAACGTGCTCCATTTCCATCGCTTGTGGCGTGACTGAGCTTCTTGTTGTTTAGTTGTTAAGTCCTGCCTAACTCTTCGTGACCCCATGGACCAGAGCACGCCAGGCCCTCTTGTCTTCCACTACCTCCCGAAGTTGGGTCAAACTCACGTTGGTCGCTTCAATGACCCTGTCCAGCCATCTAGTCCTCTGTCGTCCCCTTCTCCTCTTGCCTTCACTCTTTCCCAACATCAGGGTCTTTTCCAGGGAGTCTGCTCTGCAGCAAATCATACTGAAAGACGGAAAATGTGGGCTTAGCTACTAAACGCTCTTTCTTATGGATAAACTTTCCAAACTAAGCAAATTCCACACCTTAACTGTCTGTATAGAGACAGAGATGCATAGGAACAGAAAAGGCTCATACGTTTCTCCATCCTGTGTTAGTGTCCTGTGTGTTGTAGTGTTAGAGAGAGAGAGAGAGATCAGAGTTTTGAAATGCTAACGGTAGTGCTGACACATTGGCTAAAACCATGTCACCATTTGCGCTGGCAAAATGCAAACGGGGTAACTTTTGGAAGCAAATTCCTTCAAGTTAAGAAAGCCCTGTAGACTTTATCCGCTGCATCGTGCATTATGTGATGCTGTGAGTGACCTATAAGGTCTACGGCGATTTCTTAACTTTGCACAGTTTGTCATGGAAAGTTACACCATTTGTGTTAACGACAGGATCGTCCCCAAGAGGATTTGGACCATAGTATTAGATCATTAGGTCATCGGGTCTTTTTAATTCATTGTTCTTGAAATATAACGAATTCTAATGAGTTAGTTATAGTTGTTTGTTGAATCATTAAAGTGATCTTTCAGGTGACACTGAAATTACTGTGAGAACTTAAGGCAGCAGGAAAATTAGTGTCCCTAGACAAGTTCCTTATCCCTTGCCCAAAATGTACAAACTAGGTCAGCAAGTTAGTTTTTAATGGCTTATTGGGGAGTTAGGACTGATACAGTCATTTTTAAATGCTCCTTGTGGTTGCTGCTGCTGTTGTTCCTCCTCCTTCTATGGTAGAAGGGAAGCTGCAGATTCCACTCTTCCTGCACATGGTCCCCCTGTAATGTTCTCCAGTAACCAGAAATCCGTGACAGCAGCCACGAAATTAAAAGACGCCTGCTTCTTGGGCAGAAAGCGATGACAAACCTAGATAGCATCTTAAAAAGCAGAGACCTCCCCTTGCCGACAAAGGTCCGCATAGTCAAAGCTATGGTTTTTCCAGTAGTGATGTATGGAAGTGAGAGCTGGACCATAAAGAAGGCGGACCGCCAAAGAATTGATGCTTTTGAATTGTGGTGCTGGAGGAGACTCTTGAGAGTCCCCTGGACTGCAGGGAGAACAAACCTATCCATTCTGAAGGAACTCAACCCTGAGTGCTCCCTGGAAGGATAGATCCTGAAGCTGAGGCTCCAATCCTTTGGCCATCTCATGAAAAGAGAAGACTCGCTGGAAAAGACCCTGATGTTGGGAAAGTGTGAAGGGAAGAGGAGAAGGGGACAACAGAGGACAAGATGGTTGGACAGGGTCATAGAAGCAACCAACATGAATTTGACCCAACTCCGGGAGGGAGTGGAAGACAGGAGGGCCTGGCGCGCTCTGGTCCATGGGGTCACAAAGAGTCAGACATGACTAAACGACTAAACAACAAACCAGAAGTCCATGAGTCTTTGTCCCTTCCTCACCAGAAAGTAGCTCCTTGTCACTACCCTTCTTTATCAGATTTTCCGGTGTTTAAGAGCATAAAAGGGAAGCTCACCCTTTGCTTTTCTTTAATCTCTGGTCAGATTCGTGAGAGCCATCATTTCTCAACCGAGCAAAGTTAAAGGGGGAAAATGCCTTGTGTGTCTTTTCTGTTTCAAAAAGTACTAAAGGGGCCAAGGGTGTAGAGCAGCGGTTACCAAGATTGCCAAGCAAAGACTCTCTCCCTCCTCTGCTCCCTTCTTCAGCAGCTTGACCTGACTCTTTAATTTGGTCATCTGCCCTCCCT